CCCGGTCCCGCCGGGTGGGAGACAAACTCCGCTCACCGGGGCGCTGCACCTGCCGAGAGCAGGGCCCCCTACCCGGCTTGCTCCCCGCCTCCCCTGGGGGCCGGCGCGGCCCGGGCTCGCTCCCCTGGGTCCCGCCCGCAGCCCCGCCCCGCCCCCGGCAGGAGCCGGAGAGCGCACACAGGCAGACCCGGTTGATCACATCATCTCCCGGCCGGGGCAGGCAGCCGCTGTGTTCACGACAGTTGCGGCTCAGGCCGCGGAAGCGGGAACACTGCAGCGTCCCCAGCTGGACACACACACGTCCGCCAGGCGCCATCCCACTGTATTGGGAGAATAATGCAAATCTTTAGCCCCACGTAAAAACCCAGCAGGTTAAATTATTGGGGTTTTTGTTTGTTCTTTTTTTGGGCAAGTGGCAAATCCCTAAATAACGCGGCCAGGCCGGTCCAATCCGGGCCAGGTGCGAACCCTGCGGCCCAGGGCCGATCATCGCCCTGGTACCACTGAACACAAGCTTGGAAAGCAGCTTCCCAGCTCTAAGGCCCGGGGTATTGTTGTCTCTCGCAGTGCCTGAGTAAAACGACTTTAAATCTTTATCTGTTTACTCCAAACGAGTGAGACAAGCTTAGGAATGTGTGTGAGTGAGACACTGTGCTAAGGTGTGAGTCTCACACCCACGGAGTGCCACTTGACACATCTGCTCTCGCCGGCGGGGTCTGTGCAGCCCCATTCGGCCCTATCCTGCTCTTGCTCATCCGGGAGGAAAGTGGGACCCCACTGAGTCTGATTCCGCTCCCCACTTGCTTGGGGCCCTGTGGCCCTGCTGGCCTGAGCCTGAGCCTGCTCTCACTTGCTCAGGGTGTCCCTGCAGCCTGGCCGGGTCTGATCCCGCTCTTGCTCACCTGGGACATACATGGGGCCCCGCTGGGCCTGATCCTGCTCTCATTCACCAGGGCATTTGTGCCAAGCCAATGGTCCTGCCTTTCCACTCTGCTCTGGTGAATCAGGTTAGGTCCCTGCAGTGCCCAGCTGGGATGGCAGCGTGCAGAGTCCAGCCCGATGGGGCCAGATGGCTGTGACACTAGGGTGTGATTGCAGTATCTGGCTGTGTGTGAGAGGGATGAATGGACACAAAGGGACATGTCTTTTGTCCCTCACAGTCTTGTCAACTCTTAGAATATCAGAGTTAATATAGACTGGCCCAGCCAGCTCACCCAAAGCTGGGGCGTGTCCCCACAGAACGCAGAATGCAGCCTGCACTAGTACAGAGCTAGCAGTATTTCATAGCGCATTCACTAGCCCAGTGACTCCTCTGTTGACCTGTAAGTAAACACGGAGAATTTGATATTAATTGTTGTATGCATCTGTTGTGTGCTGACTATTCCGCACTGATGCATGCAAGTTTATTTCCCAGGCAGTACAAATTAGATTTGTATAGACAAGGAACCATTAAAGAGAATACAAAATGTTTGAGGTTCTGAGTGGGGAGTTCCCTGCATCCCTACATTACACTGTATTGGGAAGTTTAACTTGGGTTTGTAGAGCATTCAAAGATCCTTAGGTGAACGGTGCTATCAAAATGCACAATGGCACGTCTTCATTCTCCCAGGAATGTCTGGAGAAAGAACAGAGCTGCTAAGCAGGCACACAAATGAAAGTTGCACAGCTATGCACATTCTGGCCTGGTTACTTTAGTGGATTGAAACCCACAACTGGCAGAAATTCTAGGCCAGATCCTCAGTTGGTGTAGATCAACATAGCTCCATTGAAGTCAACTGAGTGATGCTGATATACCCTAGCCTAGAATTCTTATACCTGAATACAAAACAGCTACCATACCTCTAACCATTCCTGCTATGATGCCTGCAAGGTTCTGGAGTAAAAGAAGGACATCTAGTACAGGCCCCAGAGCCCTGGGGCCAAACTGAGCCATGGGGCTAGGTTATGAGGCCATTTCAGCTCTCATGGAGGACAGGGCTTTGGGATGCAGAGACATTCTTGGTGCTCAGATACCATGGGGGGTGAGCATGCCAGACAAAGCCAGAGAACAGACTGATGGACAGATAGAAAACCTTCAAGATGTGTGGGGAAGGATTTTGCAAGTCAAACATAAGGCATCACTCTAATTTTAGTATAAAAACAGCAGGTAGAATTTCTCAGGAGCCAGATTTAGAGATGATAACCTCACAGAGAGACCATTTCAAAATGAGAACCAGCATGCAATTCATGGCACATGATAAGATTGCATCAAGGCCAGGTGCTCCTTCTAATAAGCCTAGATTAGTAGCTGGCAGCTTCCAAACGATAAACATGCCAACATCAAAATGAAATTTCTTCCCTTTCAATGGAAGCGGCCCTCTCATCGAAAGCCCTGTGCTGTGGGTTCATAAGCAATACTGACATGATCCATCATGCAAAATGAATTGTTTGCATTTCTCTGGATCACCTGGGAGTTTGAAGCTGAAGATTATGTTTAAACATGCTACCCTCAGCGAGGGTCTCCTGCCTTATTTGGGGACACTCACACTGGGTTCATAACAAGTGTCAGGAGCTGGACAGACACTGGGCTGGCCTGCCAGGGTTGAACCCCAATGGTGTGCATGGGTGCTGCCTCCCGGAGTTTCATGCAGAGTGTGAGGGCACTTTGCCATCCCTTGAGTGCTGGGATCCCACCACTGTGCCCAGGGCCGGCTCCAAGGTTTTGGTCGCCCTAAGCAGACCAAAAAAAAAAAAGACCGCGATCGCGATCTGCGGTGGCAATTTGGCTGGAGGTCCTTCGCTCCGAGCGGGAGTGAGGGACCGTCTGCCGAATTGCCGCCGAATAGCTGGAAGTGCTGCCCCCCTCCGTAGTGGCCGCCCCAAGCACCTGCTTGACAAGCTGGTGCCTGGAGTCGGCCCTGACTGTGCCTCTCTGCTCACACAGCAACAGTGTGCATTTGCCATGGGGACAGTCATGTGCAACGCACTCCCCTGAACATCAGCCTCAGTCCAGAGGTCCCCATTTGGAATGAGCACCTAGAAATGTTTGCTTTTCCCAGGCGATTGTTAGAATGGCAGCTCTTGCTTCCTGGATTGCCCGGGAAGGCTTCCCTACACCAAGCTTCTGGCCTGAGGGACTGATTTAGTGCAGGGGTTCTCAAACTTAACAGCACTGTGACCCCTTTCTGACAACAAAAATTACTTCATGACCCCAGGAGGGGAGACCAAAGCCTGAGCCTGCCTGAGTCCCACTACCCTGGGTGGGGGAGCCAAAGCCCGAGCCTCACCGCTATGGGCAGGGGGGGCAAAGCTGAAGCTAAGGGCTTCAGCCCCAGGCAGGGGGCCTGCAACCTGTGCCTTGTGGCCTAGGGCTGAAGCCCTTGGGCTTTAGCTTCGGCCCTGGGCAGCGGTCCTCAGGCTAGAGCCCTGAGCCCCAGCAAATGTAAGCCAGCCCTGGTGACCCATTCAAAGGGAGTCGAGACCCACTTTGGGGTCCCAACCCAGTTTGAGAACCGCTGATTTAGTGATATAAATGTGAGACTGCCATGTTATGGAGGGTGGGGCAATGTAGTCATTTTGGGGGGTTAGTTAGCAGGAACGTAACTCAGTTTATTTAGTGCAGTCTGTAAATCACTGCAGAGAATTCACGTATATGCTAATGGCATCCATCTAAGAAGCATGACAAAGAGCTGAAGGATGCCTGCAAGGCCCAAACTATCTGCTGCCAAACTTCAAGTATTCCGAGAAACACAACATCTGTCAGCAATGCCTTGTTCCAAGGATAATTGGTCGTGCATATTTATAGGTCAGGGCAGATGGACAGCTTTCCAAATAGCCCCATTATCATCGCCCTTTGAAAAATGCACAGGTCTGGATCCCCTCATTGACATGTCTGAGTCTATACTCATTAGCCAAGGTGCCTTTCCTGGCACTTTTTAAAAATGATGTCTGCAGTGTTCTTCTGTGTCTCCAGTGGACATCGACAGCACAGGACATTCAACACAAAGCATGTGCC